GAATATAACAAATATCTAAATCCAATGAAAAACATCTGGACACAGACGATTCCCCAAACTGCCTCCCAGCAGAGAGGGACCATGTACGATGTCTAGGGATTAGAGATAATCCTCCCTGTGGCTGAGATTCACCTTCTTGTCTGGACTGAGTCTGACACAGTGGCTTTACTCATTTATGCTGGGACATGCATGAGAACAGGCTCCCTGGAGCTCAGTGGCAACGGTTTTTTTCTTCGAACCTGGAAAAAGGCTAATCAAGTATACACTTTCCCTTTATCTGAAGTTAATGTTCTCCGTCAGAGGTCATGTGGATACCTAGCAAATGTGAGGCCATTAATCATGAATCTTAATCGTGTGTTAACAGCTCAATGTTTTTTCAGGCTGACTAAAGTGTATAAACCACCATTGGCTTGATTTGCTTCTCTTAAGAACAAAGTAAGACGTTTATTGATAAAGTTAGGACATCTGGCATTCAAATGGAAAAAGACAAATGTAAGGGAAAGCTGAAATATGTGAAACTATCCCACAAAGTGTTTATATACTCCTTTGCTCTTGAACAGGTGCATACAAGTAAGACTAGAAGTGGTTCTCAGTACTGGACAGTTGCAGTCTAGTACAGGAAGCTTTGTGTGCTTGTTCAGAGAAAGAAAAAAAAAGGGAGGCTGTCTCAATGGGGCTTTTGTTGTTTGACTTGGAGACAGCAAAAGCACAAGAAACTCTGACGGACAAATACCTGGCCCCTCTGTGCCTCAAATATCTCAGCGTTGCACTTGATACAATGTCAACAAATGCCTCCTCTGTCCTCTATAGTAGCGTGTTTCCTCTCTCCACAAGGTTTCTCATGTTTTTATAAAGGCTACTGTTTTCTGAGCAGACATCTGGGTGAGCCGATTTGGCCTGCATAGCTCCAGCGCTGAGTCTCTGCTCACTGAGGGGTTGGAAATGGTCCAAAGCAATTTCTACTGTTTAGTGCTCGAAAAAGTGGTAAACAGTCTGGTGTTTGAGTCCAATATTAGAACATTGTATTGCCTTCTTAAAAGGTTAAAGAGTCATAGGAGTATAATTGAACTTATAATGAAATCAATCAAGCATATTATTAGGGTTTCTATGCATAAATTATGCGTGCCTAATCAGTATGATGGCTTTGATTAAAATAGGCAAAAGAGCCACTGCATAGAGAACATTAACTTTATATGTGCACAAAATATGTTGTTCATTAATAAAAACTGCTATCTTTGCCTGGCGGTTGAATCAAAATGCTGATGTAATGATCTTCTTTGTGCTTGTAGACATGGGCAGAGGGTTGCTGCAGAATATAGAAATACTTTATGTAATCTGCTCGGAATTCAGAAACAGAATCCTTTTGATTAACATTGCACCTTTTCCCTGTGGACATTGATCTAAAACGGCATTTTTAATCAAAGATTATTCTGTAAATCCCCCAGCGGAATTAAATAGCTGGCAGGGTATTTCTGTAAGATTCAAGGATTGAGTAGGGGTCCATTTATTTGAGTTTGTGCTATAAAAAATACAATTTCTTCCGTCTGAAGACTAACAAGACAGTTTCATTATATTCCCCCAGGCCTCAGATGAATACTTACAGTTCCTTTGGTTAATTATTCATGCCTATGTGAGTTTTAAATTGTGAATGTTTTCTGCAGCTTGGCCCTTTTTTCCCCCTCTTTCTGTTATCAAGTTTTCAGCCTTTTTCGTATTTTTGTCTTCAAATTGAACCACAACTGTGTCTTATGGCTTTCTATTCCTATGTGAGTTTGTTCTAACATTTCATGTAGGGTTCAAAGCCATTGGATACACACTGGATAGTCACCCAAAGAACTGCTTTGAAGATTTTTTTGACAATATTTGAATATAATTCTCCACTATTTGCAAATGTTATTTATCACTGTTCAAACTAGTCAATGAAAAACTGAATCCAAACATAAGAAAACCAATTATCATCAATATTTATCAAAGTGAGCTTCTGTGTCATCTAGACAGGCCAGCTTTTTGTAGCATCTAAAATAGTAAAATAAAACTGTAGCCAACAGCCTCTAAATAATTAATCTTTCTTTGCATCTCACTTTGGTGGGACAAATACAGATATGTTTGGCTTCTGTGGTTTAATGACCCTCGGAAGTTCAAAAAACACTTGTTATTTAAGTATTTAAGTGGAATTGCAGGATGTATCAAGTATAAAGAAATGATACCCTGTCTGGTTCATTCAACATAGTTACTTTGAGTTAAAAAAAATATACTGTCTAATAGAGCTTTACAAACCTGAACCTACTAAAATAACGTGTCGAGCTGTAGCAATATCACTTACATTTTATTCAAATAAAATAACATTTACGAATTTAAAATCTGTACAACTCTAGTACTATTGGGTTGACTTAGTGCTAGAGCTTACTATTAAATAATTATTATGATTAAAATATGTGTATTTCTCTTCTTTGATGGAAGCCAGAAGTGGAGGAAACAAGACTATACTTTTAAACTGTATCATCATTGGTCCATGGTGTGCACTTTAGCCAGCTGAGCCATCACAGCTCTTGTATAAAGACCTTCAAATGTGGCCTCTAATGGCTCCTACCCCCCCTGGCAAGTGGACTTTACAAAAGGATTCCAACAGCATTCAGGCTTCTGACCTCAATAACTGTCAAATGTCTCTTGACTTTAAACTAGGAGGTATTTAAATTAGACTTCTAGTATAATCGTAAACCTTTTGTATGCCTTTTAACACAATCAATGAAAGTGTCTTAATGTGAAATGCTTAAATTCTAACTTAAATCTACTGTATATGTTTTTTCCGGCTTTGATATGTTCAAATACATAACAGTAAAACATGTTTACAGACCAACGAAGAAGCATGACAAAATACATAAAACACAGCAGGATATCTTGGCATGTTACCACCACCTGTTGATGACTGCTATAGTGTGAAATCTCAGACAAGACTTGTACATGTGCATCTGTTTGCACAAGCACAAGTAAAAGGGAACCCACTTACAGTATATAAAAACAACTCTATATCGCTACTAGAGGTCAACAACTTCACAGGGAACCTTTAACATACCTGCTCTAAATTAAATCATTAGCAGAAGCTACAACACTGTGTATCATTATGAAATATGTGGCCCTGCAAAATAGCTCGAAAAAGTATCAAATACAATTATTATTTTTCTTATACATCAATAAAAGCACAATTTCAATCCCCTCCTGTCTCTGGAGGCAACTACTGAGAACCAATGTTATTTTTCTCCTATCACAATGTGTTGATTCTATCTAAAATGGTACAGATCATGTTGTCAACAGTAAACAGCTCAGCAGGAGATCAAGTCTGCTCAACACAAACACAAATATCACTGCAATGCGATGTAGACACCTGCTGACTTGTCATTTCATATTTCAAGGCAGAAATGAGCGAGATGGAAGAGCCATCTAATTAAATATAGTTTAGTCATTTTGTAGTTTTAACAAGAGACAAACAAAACAATCTATCTGTTTCTCAGGGGATACATTTAGCTTCATCTGGTTATGTTTTGACTTGCATAAAGTGGTTTTCAAGAGGGGAACATCTTATGTTGTTTCTTTTTAATTATTTCTATTTGTTTTGTGTTTTTTTGCATCACCTGAAGCAAAACAAGAAGGGACAATTTGCTTTAAAAGCCTCCCCATTGTAGCATCAACTTTTTTCCCAAAAATCAAGAACCTGTTTAATGAAGCAGGATAACTGCCAGTGAATCAGCTCTACTTCAGTACCAGATGTTATGGAGGTATCGGTTGTTAGGTTTTACTCTGCACGGTTGTTCAAACAGGTTCTATAATCATTTTTTTTTTATATAGACATCTGGCGTTGCTTACCATGACTCAGGTTTTCATTCCAAAATACCAGGTGATTTCACTTATTTCATAATGATAAGATCTCTCAAAGCACCAGAAGCCTGTTCCAGGACTCAAGTTCACGTAGTTGTATTTTGACCATTGATATTCTGATTTCTACAGCAAGTTTTTCAGATAATCCTGCATTAGTGGGAACAGATGCCTGCTGTAGTTGTTTGGTTGGGGGGGAAAGCATTATGGCACGCCCTCCTTTACAGACAATAACCTGAACAAGTGTCTTGTTTTTGTATCTGTTAACAGATGTTAGGAAAGGAAGTACTCACCACTTCTACATGTTCTACGTGGATGCATCCCTCCAGTAAAGATGCAGCAGAAGCAGCATGCAACAGAGAGACACGGAAAGCGACGAAAGCCCAGATCAAATCTAGAGATTAAAGGTACATAATTAATTAAATGGCATTGGTGTGGCTGGAGTTACTTCCACTGTAAAATCATTCCTTAACTACTTTGAAAGTGTGTAGTTTCAAAAAGGTGTTTTCTTTCCCTAAATACATGTTGTCAACTTGTCATAGGATTCATGAATAGAAAAGGCAAACATTGAATAGACCCATGTGTAAATAATACAAATATTTGTTAATGAATTAGACACTTGAATATACTAGGTAATACAATAGGGACATTTAGTGTTTGGATTGAATGGTAAACTGTAAGGATCAGGTTTTTTTTAGAGTATTTTATGTTTGAGAATGTAAGCAACTTATTAAAAGTATGAAACTCTCGTCCATGTACACATGTTATTTGATGTTCCTACTTTAAAGTCTGATAGCATAATTTAAAAATAGAAGCAGGAGTACATTTTTTAATTGACAGCCCCAAACTTCCAAACTGGATGCAGCTTGCAAGCTAGCTAATGTCACTAATACTACCAGCTTAAATAACAACTCAAAAAAGAATGAAACAAAACTCACCAAAGCCAACATGCCTTATCAGTTTTATAGTATATTTTAAAGTTTATCTTCATGCAATAAGAAGGTCCTACTTTGAATTAAAATGTAAAATAATTCAAAGCTAGTTAGCTTAAAACTTAAGCATGTAGCATGAAACATGTTAGCTTGCCATGCTTGATACTCCATCAGTAAGGGAATGTAGAGCTAACGTTAGCTACTAGCTGTCAATCAAATAGTCCCTTGCAGCTGTTCTCAGATCAGTCAGTGTGATTCCTAGACTACAGCAGAGGCTTTCCCCGAGCAGCTAGTTCATCTGAGGTTTTTATACAAGTATAAAGAACAGCTAAGTACCACAGTTTTACATTTTCCGCTTCGACTCGTCGTTGTGACATGTCTCTGTTTATGGAGGACCCAGCTCACTTCTCTAAATCCAGACTGAAGTCAGATCTCGTTGCCCACAATGTCGTGTTGCCACCCACCAAGAGCAGAAAGGAGATTTATGTGGACTTGCATTTAAAACACATCGCTCAGAAAAACGCAGGGGATTTTTCTAGCGACGATGAGGATCAAGAACAAGATTTGGCAGTGAGTTTATTAAAACCTTTCATGTTTTGCGTCAGCATATTCGTAAAAAAAAAAGAAAATCGCCAAATTTGTTTGCAAGTTACAACCTGCATTTTGGATTTAACATAATGAAAGTAGCCTACTACGTTTCATTTGTCAATTTGTGGGACCAGCAGAGGTGGAAGAAGTACTCAGATTATTTACCTAAGTAAAAGTAGCGATCAAACTGTGTAAAAATATTCAGTTACAACTCAAATGTATTAGCGTCAAAATATACTTTGAGCACCACAAGTAAAAGTAGAAAGGCAAATAAAAAAAAAAAAAGATATTATAAACAAAAATGTATTAAAATGATTGATGCATCAATGTGTTCATCACTTCTTGAACAGGTGGGGTTTATTTGAATTACTTTGTACACTACTGGTTAGCTTAGCCTATCATAATGTATGATAATGTATGTGTTGATTTAATTGTTCTATTAATAACCTAAATCTGCAAGTTACTAGTAATATGTGAAATTAATAGTTGAGTAAAAAGTACAACATTTGCCAACACAATGTTGTGGAGTAAAAGTATAAAGTAGTAATGTGAAAATACTCAAGTAAGGTTTAAGTACCTACATTGTATAGTTAATTACAGTACTTGAGTAAATGTACTTAGTTACATTACACAACTGGAGTCCATTGTAGTAACAGAATATCGTTTTCCTAAGTCTGAGAAGCTTTCCCCAGAAAAGTTCTTTGGCGCTTCATAATAAATAGCCAATGTTGCACAATATTTGTCAACAATGCTGCATTCAGTGACACCATCAACTTTACTTGACTATGAGGAGATTCTCACGTTCATAGCAATAATTTGTGTGAACTGAAACAAACCAATGGTCAGCAGGTGTAAGGGGGGGAGGGGAAGATCTGGGTCACTGCTACCAAACACTCCTCTCAGCTTGCTGTAGCATTTTAGGCTGTTGACCACTGAGCCCCCAGCTGTATAGTTGGTATAGATTTACACGAGACGTTTGAGACGTTGGCTTCTTTCAACAGAGTCGTGTGCATGTGCTCACTACACCTGTCACACTCAATTATGTGTTCCAAGGAGAGCACATGCACTTGAAGCCTGGAAGTTGTTTCTGGTCTGTGTTGTGGGGCAGAGGAACTTTCTGTTTGGGCATACTAAGTTAAGTTTATTTAACAATATCCCCTTTTATAAGATATTGTAAAGTCATAGTAGAGTTCCACATTCAAACCCCCCCATACACTTATAAACCGATGCTGATATTTCCACCTGAACTGAGTCAGTTAATCGATTAGCCAATAAAGTAAATTGGCAACTACTTTCATATCTTATAAGTAGTTTATTATTCTCATTATTGAAAGTAAATATGAATATCTTTGGGGTTTTTGCTGCCTATGTTGAACAGGCAAAAAAAGCATTTTGATGATGTCACCATGTGCGCTGTGAAACTTGGATGGACGTTCTTCAATAATTTATAGTGACATTACAGAGACCAAACTATATTCAATTAAAAAGATTGGCCGATGAATCGATAATAACAATAATGATAACTTGAAGCACTGCTGATTCAAACCTTGTCATGGGGAACTGTGACAAAGAGAGTGCTTTACAGCCGATCAATGCAGCTATCATAGTTATGTGATAAGCCACTATCCAATAATAATAATACAGGCCCTCTCAGATACCGTGGCCTCTAGCGCTTTTACAATATTGTTCACCATTTAAACATGTTCTGTTTTAAATAGGTACATTCTTGAAGCTACAGGTCGTACAGGACCTATATTCGATGAATCTTGAACAGTTTTGTGAACTGGAGCCTTGGCTGTTTTTCATGCTCTACATCCGACACCTGGAAACTGCTGGGATTTAAGCTGCAGCCTTTGTCCTGTCTCAAACAGCATTCAGGTAATTCGGTAAAATGTGTTTTGTTAGGACAAAGAGGAGGAGGAGGATGCAGAGATTCTGGTCCAGAGTTGCTTAACTGATGATGACCTCAAGGCTGCACTGCTTAAACATGGGGTTAAAGCTGGGCCCATAGTCGGTGAGTTTGCACTGTTGGGAAAATGTTATTTATTATTCACTCGGTCTGTCTGTTCCTGACTTAAAAAAAAAACTGTTATAATATTGTTTGTCTATACTAGCCTCCACTAGAGCCTTGTATGAGAATAAGCTCAGGAGACTGCAACAGTCTGAAGGACAAGGCCATGTAAACGGAGTAGAGAAAGGTGTATTGTACTCTGACAGTGAAGAGGAGGAGGAACAAGAGGATGGAGAGTCAGGTATGACTATACATGTTGTACATTTTTCACTGGATTTGTATGTTTAGTATCATTTAATGATATGCTTTCTATTCTTTTTCTGTGACTTACACAGGTTCAGAAGGAGCAAACGAAGAAACCGCTGAACAGTCAAACCAAGCACAACAAGGGAGTAGCCAGGTGAGAACACTTGTAGGAAGGTTACTTATATAGGCTTAATGATTTAGAGTTCCTCTGTTAGGTAGTTTTTTTTATTTTCTGAAACTACCTTAATACTTTCCCTACAGTGCCCCTTAGTGGTTATGGATTGTAACTGTAAACTTGTTTGTTTATTTGGAATGAGCATTTACATTTTGAGTGTCGGTGTTGTGCTTTCAGAATGGTGATTTTGTTTACCCGCAGTGTTTTTTACTCTCATCAAGGATGGTAAATACTACAGATGTTCACACTGTTGCTTCTGTGAAACTGAATTCTCCAGATACACTGATGTTTTTTGTGTGTCGGGTTGACCTTTTGTAGCGGGCTCATGCTACTAGAAAAAGGGAACCTATTCCCAAGAGGAATTCGCGGAATGTGATAAAATCCTCCCAGCAGAGTCGGCATCACTGCTCACAGATTCCCGTAGGAATTACTAAAGCATCCTCTGTAGATCAACGCTCGGGATTAGGATCAGGGGTAGGCTGGTCTTGTTTCACCTCTTTTGTGGATTTAAAATTCTCTGCATTCCTTGCTGAGACTGTAACTTTATTGTGTGTCCTCAAGCCAACAGTGGGATATGTTTTTGGTTTACAATGAAGGGCATCTCACCGGTGTATAGATTGTGTTATGAAAGATACTTCTTTTTTTACATTATTGTAATATCCTTGCAGTTTCCATCTGGAACACATTCAGCCGTGTCCAATGGTGGCTCATCAATCTCCTCTCAGCAGTCCTTCAGCATCACTGAAATGGTTCAAGAGGAAAGTTAATGTTTTTAAACACATCATTTTTTCGTTGTGAGTAATCACTGCCAGAGAGCTCATTGAGTCATGTACTCTTACTCTAAAAAAACAGGTGGAGAGGCGGAAGTCACTCTCTTCTAGACCAAACACTGAGAGAGAGTTGAATGGGAGCAATGTGCAGGAACATTGGTCGCGGTCCAACAGGGTCAGTAGTGTTCACATTGTTCAGTCACACTTTAAGCTCAACTGCTAGTGGAGGTTAAGGTTGTCGGGAGAGGTTCACTGGAGGTTCTAGGAATTTCAGACGACTAAATCATAACCTGTTGCGCCTCATTCCTTTAGCCGGACACTCCCATTGTGGACACCATGAAGAACCAGTCTCCGTACTACACTCCAAAGGAATCCCCTTATAAACTGAAAATTAAGGCACATATGATATATTTTACTGTTGTTATTCTATTTCACTTGATTGTGGTGTATGTGTTGTCTACAAGAACACACTTTGTTTGTCTAACTCCTTTTATACGTCAGTGTTACTTCAACTAGAAAATGACACAAACTAAACGTAATACTTCCATTATTCTAGCGTTTTTCCATCAGGTGTCGGATCTCTTCTGATTACATTAACAATCACCTTTTTCCTTTACTTCCAACTGGCTTGCTGGGCCTCTGTCTCTGTGGGACTCTGCTGTCTGGGACACATTTAGCTTTTTCTCTGCTCCACTTTCACACTGAATCCTGCTCTGTTTTTTCCAGCCGTCTCAAGAGCCTGTGAAAGATACAATAAAGGAGATGTTTTTAAACATGGAAGCCTCACCCACAGGGATCTGGTAAGCACCAAAACAACAGAAACGGTTGGATTTGCATTTATCACAGTCCCTATCAAATGTAACATGATATAGAACCACTTGTTTTCTGCAATCTTAACCACTGTCTTGCACAATTTTGCATGTAAACTATTAAATAAAAAAACATACTGTATTTTTTAGTATCTATATAGGATCACAAAATAATAATATATATATATTTTTTTTAACATGGACATTACAATACAAAAAGAGATATTCTTATCACAGACAACAACAACAACAAAAAACAGAAGAAAAAATAAATAAATAATAAAATACAGTCAGTTGGTCACTTCAACATTTCATAAACAAAAAAAGAAAAAATAGGTTGACAGTCCAATATCATCAAAAGCATTTATTATTCCTTTTTACCCCAATCTTCGCTAGAGCTGATTGTTTCCCATTTCATGGTGTGTTGAGCCATCCTTTGATTCTTTGTGGCAATCATCCTTTCCAAAATAAATTGTGTTTTTAAACTACTTTTCACACACCTTAAATTCAGATTTCCCCTTGATTGCGCTTTAAAAATAAGTATTTTTGCCAGAAGAATAATTGTATTCATCAACTGTGTATTGTCCTCATCCAAAAGCCCAAACAAAAGACCAAAGGGAGTAAATGCAAAATCAATATAACGTGTCTGAAGCCAATTTTGAATCTCAGTCCACAGTCTTGCAACGTATGGACAATAAAAAAATAAATGCATCTAATAATATTGCAATACTCAAGTGTATAGATATTCCCTTACACTCTTAAAATAGCACATAACTCTCTGTTGTATTACAGTGCCACTCGCCGGAGGCCTATTAAAGGTGCAGCAGGGAGACCCGTCCAGTACATTTACCCAGACACTCCCACCAGTCCCACCACCCTCGAGAGACGAGAGGTGGAGCGCCGCCTTGTGCCCATCCATATACAGATTTTGGTTTTCTTCATTGTGGCTTGCCTACTTTATATGATTTATGTTTGTGTTGAGGAAAACTCATTTAATCCATTTGTTGCCTTACTGGACAGTCCAGACCAGGGTTCAGAAAGTGAGGAAGGGCTTATGCTTCAGGCTAAGACACAGGACACACCAGTTATCTCTGGACAGGAGTAACTTAAAGCTTTCCTTAATCCTGTACATCGACATACAGATGTGAGGCTGTGGGGGGTATGCAAACCAGGTTGATCAGGTTCTATGATCTCTTCAGGGAGCACATATTGCTTTACTATTGACTGTGTGTCTGTATGGGAGCAAACCTCAAAGTCCAGCTTCAGAGTTTTATATATTTTTGCTCATAGATGATACCAAAGCGCTCTCTGTCAGTGTAGTTGGAAAAATAAACCCTATGTTCAGCAGAGACTTTAAAATATGTTCTTTAAGTTATAAATAATAAAGTACAATGCTATTATTCTTTTCTATTTCCTAACCCAAATTGTGTAGTTTTCAATCAGTTAGTGTCACTGTACTTGTATGTATTTTTTTAAACATTTCAACCATGTTTCAATAAAGGATGTTTTGTTTCATACTTTTTGGTGTAAATGATTCCTAGCAAAGTCAAAAAAGATGACGTGTTCAGATATAAAATCAGCAGGGATCTTCAGGCTTCATATTAAAATCCACTTCTAATGAAGACTATTATAAGTGTAAGTCATATTGTCGCCAGCAGGTGGCTCTCATTCAATAAACCTGAACTAACTAATTCAGTTTCAGTCACTGCAAAGAGTCGCAGTGAACGATTTCCGCCGTCATAACAGACAACATGACAGAATCGGGGCAAAAGTTAAACATATTCAAGTTTTTAAAGATCGTTATTAGTAGTTTCTTCATAGCTGCACTGCTGTTATTTACTATAGCATCTATCAGGACTCTTTCACTGGACGTTAATGTCGGACTTCAACTCGCACGATGGGAAAAGACGAATAACCTCTCGCTTGTCATAGACCACCACCAGAGAGAGGAGCTTCTTGCTAATTTTAAAGGTAATATCCCCTTGCTAAAGTCGGTGAATTATGTATTATCTTTGCCCTGTGTGGACAGCGCTGGAGGAAATGTGGAGCAGACACCTGGGACGGACGTTAACTAGCGTTTTTATCAATGTTAATTTATCCAGAGGCTATCCGGATCCCCACGGTGTCTTTCTCAGAGAAGGAGAGCAACACCACGGCGCTGCTTCAGTTTGACAGGCTCCTCCGAAAAGGTAAACAAAAGGCTGATGTGTGAACGTGACGTCATCAACGTTAAAGCTCTTCACCGTGTAATTTGTAAATGCTCCAGTGTTTTTTTTTTATTGCTGATGCTAAGACTGCAAACCATGTAGAGCTGATTACTAGCTAACAACCTGAGCTAACGTTAGCGAAACGTTAACTAAACCTCATGACTTATGATTGTTTACAGCACACAGTAGAATCCAATTCAGGCCGAGGTTTACAAAGTGCATCACTCTGCAGGTGCTAGCAGACTACTGAGATACATTTATAGCTCAACTTAAACAAGAACAGCCTTTCATTTTAATACGGGGTTCTTATTAAAAAGTAAATATCCCTACTAACTTATCCTATCCTACCTACAGTCCCCCAAAGGTATTCATAATAATATAATAAAAAAGTATTGATTATAAAAAGCCTTCACATTACTATTTTCGGTGAGTGAATAATTGACAAATCAACAAATTATCCAAACGTTATATTGTGCAAAAAATCAAGACATTTTTTGTGAATATTTAAAGAGAACATTTAGTTTGTTTCCTTTTTTAATTTCAAGATATCACAACTTTTATTCCATAATATAGGAAAAGCGCTTAAGATGCTGGATCCTACATTTACAATGATCAAACTAAAAGCATTTTTTTTTTTAAAGATCCATTTTATAACCTTCATTCTAAACAGGCTTTATATAATCCTTAGCGTTTTTAGCAGACCCTAGAGCTCAACTAGATTAACAGAATACATTATACAACTTTTTTAATAAACTGAATATTAATCCAACCTTACATTTGAAACCAGATGGAGTTTCCTCTTTAAGCTTGGACTATTCTGTGTCAGTTTTCCCAACAGTTTTCTCTTCAAGCTTGGTTCACCATGAATTGGTGGCCAACTACAGCCACCTGTTTTGGGTGCAAGGATCACAGCATGACCTGGTGCCATACCTGCTGCTCGCTCACATCGATGTAGTACCTGCCTCAGAAGCAGATGGCTGGGAGGCGCCACCATTTTCTGCCCAGGAAATAGATGGCTTCATCTATGGAAGAGGGACCATAGACGACAAGAGCCCTGTAATGGTGAGACAACAAAGGTTATTTTGTGCTGTTATTAAACATAGTTGAATTATATACTGATGTACTTCTCATGTGCCAGGGAGACTAAACCAATATGCTTTATTTATTCCAGGGTATACTCCAGGCACTAGAGTACTTGCTGAAAAAAGGCTATGCTCCACGCAGAGGATTTTACATTGGTCTTGGTCATGATGAAGAAGTACTTTAAATATTCATGAAACACTACTTGTGATCCTTAATAACCCCCTTTATTATATCTAAATGTTTGTATCCTTTAATATTTATTTTAACAGGTCAGTGGTTTCAAGGGGGCGATGAACATAGTGCGTATAATGAAGCAGCGTGGTGTGCAGCTTTCGTTTGTCCTGGACGAGGGCCTGGCTGTACTTGACGGAGTCATCAGTGGTCTTCAAGGACCTGCTGCGCTGTGAGAACCTGTCATGCTCTAGTGTAAACATGATATTTAGTGAGCAGCGTTTCAATGTTAAAAGGAAACCATTTGGCAGACATCACAACAAACTCAAAAGCTTATAGCATAAAATTGCATGACTCTAGTAAATTGTTGGATAGGTCGTTTGATTGACATTTGTACATTCTGTGTTTGATGTGTGTGTATTTGTTTTGTAGAATTGGAATCAGTGAAAAAGGTTCAGCGACTGTAAAGCTTAGTGTGTCTATGGTCCCTGGTCACTCCTCGATGCCTCCTCCTGAGTCCACTATTGGGATCTTGGCTGCAGCAGTCAAAAGGTGAAGGGAATGTTTCCTTAAACTGTACATTTTTAGCTCATTTTATTTCCTTAAAATGAATTCAAATGAGTCGTTGTGTTCATGCAGGACCATACTACATCCCACTATTATCAGTCCTTGAATAAATAAACACAATCTTAAACTCTAATGCTCTTTTCTCAGACTAGAGGACAACCCTATGCCGAGATTATTTGGTCATGGGCCTGAACGCGAAACATTTGAGCACCTGGCGCAAAAGGTAAATGTTGTTGTTGTAAATGTCATTTTTTTGTTTTGATTTCTCTTACATGACTATGCACTGCAACATTTGTTTTGTTTTGTAATTATTTATTTTACTTGTTCGAAATAAATGTATCAATCAATCAATCAATCAAACCAACTTGGTCCACTACTTATCATTACATATAGTACATTAGCTCTCCTTATGTTGTTAATCCGTTTCTCAATCTTGTCTTTAGTTCGGGCTCCCAATGAAGTTCATAATGTCAAATTTGTGGCTGTTCGCCCCACTTCTTGGCAGGTAATCGCTTCATTAAATGTACTCAGCATGTCTCCTTATAATTTTGATCATTGAGATGAATCATTTAGCATGTTTGATGTTACAGGATACTTGAAAGAAAACCAGACACTAATGCTTTTGTAAGGACAACTACAGCAGTCACCATGTTTAATGCTGGAGTTAAGGTAGAGTTTTTAGTTATCAAATGGAGGGTCATTTACTGGATATTCAATCGTACATTTGCATTTGTCCAAACCCTGAATTCTCTTCCACTATGTAGGTGAATATCATCCCTTCCCTCGCTGAAGCGTATGTAAATCTACGAATCCACTCAGCACAATCATTAAAAGAGGTAGAGCCAGACATTTGATTTTCCTCTTTAAGAATTCCTGATGTCTCTTCATAAATACGTTGAGCTAAATGAGATGTTTGCTGTCTAGGTCCTGGACCTTATCCAGTCTACAGTGGGGGACCAACGAGTGAAGATAGAGCTTGTTGATGGGTTTGACCCTCTGCCTGTGAGCTCTGCAGATGAAAAGTCCTTTGGCTTCCAGATCATTAAGAAGACAGTGCTGGACATGTTTCCAACAGTTACAGTTGCTCCAGGTAAAATCATCCAGCAAAATCGAATTGTATATCAAAGTTTTTGCTAAAATATTCCATAAATGTTTGGATATAATATTTTATGTGCAGGTATCTGTATTGGGAACACAGACAGTCGACACTTCAAAGACCTGACGAATGACATTTATCGCTTCGCCCCCATCTGGTTTAAACCAGGTGACGCTCAGAGGTAAGGATCTAGTTTATCCAACACTGAATTGAAATAGTCTTGAAAAAGCCTGCTGCAGTAATCACTATAAGTTGCTTGAACAGAGTTGTACTTGGCAAACTATAAGACAACTTGAACAAAAGAGCTTTCTGCTGTTGGTCACATGTTTATGTTGCAACCTTATGATGTAATGGTGTGACCTAATTGTACGGTTCAGACTTAAACTCCCTGTTGAACAAATATATAAGAATTGTATGCACAGAACCAACCTTTAGCCTAGTTTACACATCACACACAGCTGTGGTAATAAAAAGCACGAGGAAATCCAACAAAGAAAATGTATTTGCTTCTTTTTAGTTACCACACATTTTGTTATTTTCCTTTAGATTCCATGGGATCAACGAACGGATTTCCAAAAAGAACTACGAGGAGCTTGTAGTATTTTACTTTAGTCTGATTCAAAACTGTGATATTCAGAAGCTCCCCGAACCTCACAGCTCTGTCCATGAGCTCTAAGGAATATACTCAAAAGACTATGGCTAACAATCAAACAAATGCAATTTAAAAGCCTGTGTTATTTTTATTTATAATTTCAATAGCACCCAATGTAGTCAATTAATTTTCTAAATATAATTTGAATCTGCATTTTAGACCATAAGAATTTTCCATTATCCTGCAATCAGATTAACAGTTAACAACAAACCGTTATATAAATAAACAAACCTTAACCATAGCCTTTTAGTCTTGTTTGATGACCTACAGTGTTGACCTTGTTGTGATGAAATTATAACAGGGTAACCATGAGGAGCTCTTTAGCATTTGTAATTAGGATTTTGTGCAACACTGCTGTAATGATGTTTGAATGTATAATGATGATGGTATTATTTCATTAAATGAGTGATAACATTTTCGGTTTCACTGCTGCTTATAATACCGTAGTACCTGTAATAAATGATAACTTGTAATACAATGACTGCATACATACTTTTTGGCTGCTGATTGGAAATGCTGAATGGATATATTTCAAACTTTAGTTTTTGTTTAATCAAATACAGCGTTTTTCAATAACTCTATACTATCACTGACTAGCTATTTAAAATAAATCCTGATCTGTTAATGTGATCTGAATTTGCAAATTCAACAAATAAATGTTGGAAGTCAAGCCAAGTACCGTCTTTGTGTATCACATCTAAAGACTGTATAATACTGTACCTTTGGATAAAGCACATCCAAGAACTGTTAGGTTTCCCGAGAAGTGACTGGAGATGAGAACCCGCTATGCAAGCACTAAAACAGAGACAGTGGTGAAGTGTAAAAAAAAAAGGCTTTATTTTGTCCACGACACTGACAAGGAGTTGACGAAGCACACGTAGAGGGAAGACGTGGAGCTGGGCTGATCAGGAGGGGAGGCTGGACGTGGCAGGCAGAGAGGCTGGAGTATGTGGATCTGGAACAGGAAAAACAAGCAGGATTAGGAAATAATTTCCTTTCACAAGCAGCATCAAAAAGTCACTAGGAAAAACCACTAGTAGGCCTGGACGATAGTTTACCACTGAAGAATAAACTAAGAACTGGCGAAGTCTGAAGATGGGAACCAGGGTTTTAAGCAGGTGCAGGTGAGTAGTGGCAATCAGTGAGATGAGCAGCAGCTGACGAGGTGAGTTGGCGGGAATCGGAATGTAGGTAGCCACGCCCAGCCAGGGAGACAGACACATAGACAAAACAAACACAGACAGGGGAAACAGAAGGAGGAAGTACTGCAGATCCTCACATGGAGTCTGTGCCACAGAGACGAGGCAACCAGATTGTTGGCTACAAGAACTCTTCCCCTGTAGCAGGGCCGGCCCTGACCAATTTGCTGCCCTAGGCAAGATTTTAGCTGGCACGGTTGTGGCATGACCACCAAAACAGAAAGATATGTGCACAAGATGTGTGCAAATGTATTTTGCATCCTATCCATTTGAACATGATTTCAACATTAAGAGATCTATGGATACAACACCCATATGAAACAGAG